ACGCCTCCAGTGACCTCTGTTCTCTGAGATCTTTTGAACCTGGTCCCACGACAGCCCAGAAGCTCTCATTTCCTGCTCGCACGACCTCCTCCATGTCACCCTCGGATGTCCAACTCGTCACTTCCCATGGGGATTCCACTCGAGGACCTGACGCGTGATGTCCTCAGTCGGCCTTCTCGGTGTATGCCCAATCCATCTCCACTTCCTTCTGCATATTTGTTGCGTGATAGGTTCTTGGTTGCTTCGTTCCCAGAGTTCCTTGTTGCTTATTCTTGTTATTCTGGCCATCTGATCTTCAGTAGCGAGCCAGCGTAGGCAGTTGTTGATGAGTGTCTGTAGTTTATTGGAAATCTCTTTCGTGACGCGCCAAGTCTCTGAACCATACAGAAGCACTGACTTGACGTTGGTGTTGAAAATCCGTATCTTGTTCCACATGCTGAGTGCAGAAGATCTCCACACTGGTTTCAGGCTAATGAACACCTGTCTTGCTTTTCCGATTCTGACTTTGACGTCCTCGTCCGTCCCGACTGTAGTTGAAACAGTGCTTCCTAGATAAGTGAAGGAGGTTACTTCCTTCAAGTTTCTCCCGTTGATGGTGATTGGAGTTTGTTGTTGTTGTTGATGGTGGTGGTGCGGCATCTTCATCACCTCTGTCTTCTCTATATTCACCTGAAGTCCCGTCTTAGCTGCCTCTTCTGTCAACTTGTTAGTTTTTGCCTGCAGATCTTCAAGTTTATGTGACATTAGGCATAAGTCATCGGCGAAATCCAAGTCTTCTAGGTTCTTTTCCGTCGTCCAGTGTATCCCCCTCTTCTCGCTGCCTACTGTTTGCTGCATGATCCAGTCCACCACATTAAGGAATATCATGGGGGATAGTAGGCAACCTTGTTTCACTCCTGTCTTCACTTCAAAGGCATCACTGAGCTTCCCATTGTGGATTACTTGGCATGTAGCATCTTCATATAGTTGTTGAATGAGGCGGATAAAGGTTTGCGGTACTCCGTAGTATTGAAGCAGTTTCCAAATTACTTCTCGGTCGATGCTGTCAAAGGCCTTCTCAAAGTCGGTGAAGTTGAGGTAGAGAGCTGATTGCCATTCAATGCTCTGTTCTATGATGATGCTAAGCGTTGCAATTTGGTCTGCACATGATTTGTACTTCCTGAAGCCTGCCTGTTCCGGTCGCAGTTTTGAATCCAGTGCGTCTTTAAGCCTCTCCAGGATGATGCGGCTTAATATTTTACTTGGGGTGGACAGGAGAGTGATTCCGCGCCAGTTCTTGCTAACACCGAGGTCTCCCTTCTTCGGCAGTTTGACAAGGTAACCCTTCTTCCAATCGTCAGGTACCTTCTCTTCCTTCCACACCTTCTGCAATAGTGGTGTGGTGTGAGCATGTCCGCTGTTGTCTCTGCATCTGTTCTCAGTGCTTCTGGCGGTATTCCATCTGGTCCTGCTGCTTTCCCGCATTTCAGTAGCTTTATGGCGTTCAGGACTTCCATTTTCGTTGGGGGATTAATGTTCACTTGTAATTCAGAGGCTGCAGGTGGTATTCGTGGACGAAGTGCAGGTGGTGGTCGATTCAAGAGCTTCTTGAAGTGGTCGGCCCATCGTTTCCTCTGTTTCTCTTCTTTTGTAATTAAATTTCCTTCATCATCTTTTATTGGTTTCATCTGTGTTGGTCTCTTCCCTGATAGCAACCTGGTTAGTTGACACAATGTCGTCAGGTCTCTCTTACCTGCAGCCTGTTCTGCTTCACTTGCCAGTGTTTCGTAGAAGTGTCTTTTGTCTTTGCGTGCACTCTTCTTCACTTCTTTGTCCAGTGCAGTGTTTTATACATTGTGCTCAGTTCCTCTTGTCGTTGAGCATCCTTGCACTGGTTTATCTTCTGCTTCACCATACTCCTCTGCTCTATCAGCTTCCAGGTATCCGTCGAGATCCATTCCTTGTCTTCTTTCTTCTTCCTTCCTAATACTGTTGTGCAGGTTTCTTTCCACATAGCTTTCAAAGACTTCCAGTGTTCTTCCACACAGGTTTCTTCAGGGATGTTCCTCGATATCTTCCATTTTGTCTTGATGGTTGCCGTGAAGATCTCCTTTGTAGTTTCATCCTTCAGTTTCCGAGTGTTGTACTTGAACTGTGATCTGTCTCACCAGCTTCCTTGAAGGCTTTTAACTTGATTTGGAAGGTTCCTTGCACTAGATAGTGGTCTGAACCTACATCTGCTCCTCTTCTTGACCTTATGTCAAGTAGACTGCGTCTCCATTTTCTTGAGATTGAGATAAAGTCGATTTGATTTTTAGTGTGTCCTGGTGTCTGGTGAAATCCATGTCGCTTTGTGGATATCTTTGTGCCTGAACACACTGCCTCCAATCACCAAATCGTTGAATGCGCAGAATTCTGCAAACAATTCTCCATTCTCATTCATTTCACCTAGCGCCTCTCGACCCATGGTTAGTTCTCTTCCTGTGTTGTCCCCTCCCAGTTTGGCATTCATGTCGCCCCACCCATTAGAATTTTGATATCGCCAACTGACGTCTTGTCCAGTGTTGATTGAAGTTGTCTGTAGAAATCCTCCTTTTTCTCTTGCTCTGCATTATTTGTAGGTGCATAGCATTGTATGATTGTGACCTTTCTTCCTTTTGAGTTGAATCTTGCTGTCATGATCCTGGAGGAGATTGGTTCCCACTACATGAGAGCCTTCGATGCTCTTGAGGACATCATGATAGCCACTCCATAACTCAGTGTGCTGGTGGTTGGCGTCTGGGTGACCGGAGTAGATTATTGATTCTCCAGTTGACAGTTTGGAGAGTCCACTCCCATTCCATCTGCCTTCGCAAATCCCAAGCACTTCGATGTTATACCTTCTCATCTCCTTTGCAATCTGGGCTGCCTTACTGGGTTCAAACATCGTGCGGACATTCCATGTCCCCACGTTTACTTTCGCTCTCATCGAGAGAAGACACATCGGCCAATTGGCTTCCCGAAGGCTTTCACCAACTGGCGTCATTTCGCCTCTCCGATTCCAGCGGGGAATAAGTTTGTTTTCATTTTTTATATTTTGTTTGTGCTTTGAAGTTTCTTTAGCGGTTAGATTTGTTTTACGGGGTAGGGTTGCTAGCCCTATGCCCAACCTTCCCTCTTTACCCGGGCTTAGGACCGGCTAGTAACTAGTAAACTAGTTAACCAGGCGAGATTATGTTCACACTAAGCTATCGAAAAAAACGAGGTGATCTGATAACAGTCTATGTGATCATTCATCAAGTGGACCACCCAAATAGGACAACATTATGGGTCCAAAACCGATAATCCCATGGGAACCCCACTGGCATACCCCACCATGGGGCAAAAGCTATAGTGAGATCCAGCCCCCTCTCCCATAGAGTGTGCCTCATGGAACGCGCTGCCAAAAGAAGTGGCTGCAGCTACATCAGTCAACTCCTTCAAACGACCACTGGATGAGTATGTGAGCGCAAATGGCTTGCGACGAACATATGTTAGTAGCAACCGACGATACGCCCTTCCGTCCCTGTATTCCCCAACCCCAGTATTTGCAGTGAGACGCACCTCTCCCCTATATTATTACTAGTCATATGTATCTTTTCAAAAGTACTTTTCACTACTCCTTTTCTCACTCCCCCCCACCCCGTTTCTGCCACTATTTAAATAACGCTTAACACTTACTTTCAACAACAGGAATTGCAAACAGTTGAGTGATCTAGTCAGCAGCTCCGTTGCCCCGCGTAAACAAACCAAGCCGCAATTTGCGGATAAAACACCTTCAAATAGAAAATAATATCTCCAAAGCTATACGCAGGAAAATGCAAGGACCTCTGCGACCATCGAAGGAGTACAACCGAACAAAAAGAACCAAGCCTCAAGACCTAGAAGCGACAGCTCAAAAACTGCAAGTTTCCTGTACTCGCAATATTGATGTTGGATGTTGGACTCAATTTTTTCCGCGCAGCCCGACATAGTCTACCCTGTACGAAATCCTCTGTACGGACAGTGTCACCAAGAACTTGACGTAACCTTATATTTCTGTGTTGGACTTCTCGCCCAGTTACCATACCCCTACTAATAACGTCGCTCTTTCTGTTCCCACAATTCATTCTATAATCTCACTTTTCTCTTCTCCTCCCTTTTACCCCTTGGTCTTGCTTTATTCATTAAGGTTCTCTATATCACTGTTATCTCCTCTGAGTCTACCAGGGTTTCTCCCTCGTACTTTCGGCTTCCTTCCACCTCGTTTTTTATTCTCCGCAATTCGTCTCCTTTGATTTTGCCGGACACCCATTACAGCCTCTCCGAACAACTGTTTGGTGGAATGACACGTGAGAAACCCATCTGGACCACAGTCCTTGGAATAATCATACAATCCCTACAAATTTGAACAACACCCAACCGCCTTTCAGGCTAACCACAACAACAGCAGGCCAGTGGGCAGACATACTGCATCAGACTGCACCAGAAACCTGTGTCTATTCTGCTTAACCCAGAAGCGAGCACGAAGAAATTAACTAGTGTACACCAGGCGGTAAAAACGTATTGAATATTGAAACCAGAATCTGAATTCCACTATTATGGTGTTTTCGTATAACTAAGCGTTGTGACTTTGAAAACTTAATGAGAGTCTAGAATTATTTCAGACACCTGTATTTATTTTTCTGACCACTCAAACCAGTTTAGAACCACTGCAATTCTTCGGAGCCCTTGATGGGTTGATAAGTTTTTAGGTCTTCTCACTACCACATTTCACAGGAATTTTACATTTGATCAACATATTTATTCACTATAATATAAAATAAATTCCAGGTGGCTTCATTGTCCACTTGTTGCGGTCTTGACTGCGCAACAGTAGGTTAGGGTAAACTACTCAAACAACAAACAATCTGCGGCCTTCAACCCGTATATTCGTGGTCCGGTCGTACTACGGCTGATCGTTCCGTTTCTAGGCCTGTGTAGTGCGTAGCATTTGGACCGGTGGATCTCGTACAATAATTGACATGCAAAACGAAGTTATCGAAAAAACAGTGGTCTTCGAAATACCACTTCCTGATAATGAAGGCTGCCATGAATGCTCTTATCTAGAGCTTTTGCAGCAGCACCTGGTACGGTTGCAAACCATGCATATGACAGATTTGTTGCACCACTTATGTGTTTCCTTTATGCTGGTGTTAAACCTACATTTTATTCTGTTTCATACTGCAATTTAACTGAGATATTTGGGGTTTTAGCAACGTACTCGTGGCTTCCGCTGTTCGTTCATTGGTCCATGGCTGACCTTGGGCGTGGGTGTGGAATTGTGGTTGTGATGTGCAAAGTGAACTTCAAGATTAAGACGATGAACTGCATCTGTGTTTTGACTTTTTCAGGAATCAATTAGCAATGAAAAACCACAGGACGATCCTTTTGCATCCAAAGATGCAGTGGAGGAAAAGAAGCTTTCAGAACTTGCTAAGGCACTGGAGAGGAAATATGTAGAACATAAACTATTAGCTTGACTAATTACTTAAGGGAACTATGGTCACCATGAAAAATAGTGAAAAGCAGAAACGAGTTCGTATCGATGACTTTCTGAATCCGGGAGATGGGTACGATACCCAAGATTCTTTTATTGATGACTCAGAAGCCGTATGTCCCTGTTTTTCCTTTTAGTGAAATTGTAGATTGATGTTTTCGTGGCTCCAAACATTTCGACCAAGTTTGGTGGATATTTTGTACATCAAGGAATTGTAGAAGGACTTGAAGACCAGAGTGCTAAGATCGAAGCATCTTGGAATGCAAGGATATTGGTTTGTATAAATGACACTGATTCCATTATCCAATAGACGAACACTAGTTCCTCCCAGAACGCTATGCGAAAGAAAAATAAATCCAAGTAAGCCAGGTGCATTTTAAACATTTTCCTAGGGAACTTCTGGATAAGGCTGTAAAGCGCTTGTCAACAGCTAATGCTTTCAAGCCGAAGCTGTTCTGTTCAGAATCCCGAAGTCAAATGCGCAACTTGGATTCGGTGTTTGATGAAGTTTTGTCCTCACCGAAGGTGATCACACAAGGTGATACTGCGAAAGATATGGACAACTGTCAAAATTTGATTGACAAATGTGATACTGTACCTACCACTTCCCACACAAAACTGACACATGACTCGGGAAAACCTAAACCTCTTCCTGAAAACTTGCCATCGGAGATAATAACGTGTCTGAACAACCTAACAGAGGTAAGTCATTTCCGTTTATATGGGAAACCCCAATGATATTTACAGAGTATATGTTGTAGTCTGATTCTAGTCATTATGGGTCTATAAGAAGTCTAGAAAGTGGCATAAATAAAATATCGTGTTGTTTAGTAGGGAGGTGGTGTATTGATTGTTTTTGTAGTGGTAACCCTAATGACCTGGGTAAAACTGCATGTTCCCATATTTTATAGTCACTCATCTGAGGCTTACATTTAAATGTAACATTCACAGCATAAATCTTCACAGTAAAAAGTCTGCTGTTGGCAAACTTTCCTGACTGCATAAATTGGTCTCAATGACAAGAATACTCACTCTTATCTTGCTTGAAAACAGATTGTTGTTTTTAACGTATTTATCTGTTAAAAACGTTACTTTCTAATTCTAAGTGCTTATATTTCTTGGTAAACTCTTTGAAGATACGACACACTGTGGCACTAAGTTTCAGTAGGTTTTACTCGCTGTTCATTCAATGAAAGTAGTAAACATTTAGCTACTAAATTATCTTTCTTATTTGGGCTTCATGTATACTTGAGACATTTAATTTCTAAAGAATCTTTCCTTGAAGTTCTGTTGTAGCTTTATTAAGTTTAGTAACTGATTTTTAATTTCAGTTGAACAAATATGGGACACAACAGCGTCGTACAATGGGGAAGCCTTTTGATACAGAGTTGTTAAAGTGAGTTTTCCAATTACCACCGTTTTCATCCTTTTTCTAAAGTTCGGTTTGATGAACTAATCACTGACCTAATCTAAAAGTCTGGAAGTGGGACTAGGACAAAATGTCGATCATAGGGGACTTTGTATTATTGGTGAGGATGCTAATTAGACACTTCAGGATACGTCTGTTAAAAATTCTTTTGCTATCATTATTTGGCCTCATTAAATGTTTGTTGACCCTATTATTGTGGTTCAATAGGGTAAGATCAATCGTGGAAGTTAAACCTTATCGGTTCTCTGCTATTTTAAGGAATGCATTTTGACGTGGTAGTACATGCATTCAACTCACAGTTACTCGTCGATTATAGTCTACTTTGTCTCATAGTTATACAAAAGCCCCAACGTTGCGTCAATTGACAAGGTTTCCTTATCCTATAACTACTCAATCATGCCTCTGAACTTCACTGGTCGCTAATCACTGAGCCGCAAGTTACCATTTCTCACTTTTTAGCAGGGTTATTCAAAATAGTCGCACTGCATGGCTTAAATTTTAGAATTATGGAAAAAACCAGTTTGACCAGTAAGTGAATGGACTAAGCGTGATGGGAACAGGTTTTCCACTGGTTGATTCTTTTCATTTCAAACGTTTTAAATGATGCAGTGTGAAATGTAAGAATGTAACTTCAAACCTTTAACAGGCTGAGCTGCATCTAATTTACGCGTGAGTTATTGCGAGCAAATTTTTGTATGCCAACTGTGAAAGGAGGACTGTGCCATGAAACAGTGATGAAGTGTTTCTTGAGAACAAAAAATAGACTTTCTAAGGAGAACACCTTATTTTAGGTAGTTCTGTTTCCAACATCAAAGGGTATTAGATGAGCACGTCAACATAAGTTAATCTAAATGAAAACATCCGGAAACATCACATATATTCTTCAAGCAGCTGCTCCTTCGGTTTTTTCATACTCCCGAGTTTTTAAGACTTTCCATACTAACCCACTTCCTCTTGAATACTTCACTAAAGAGCATTTTTATATCAATATATACAGCCGGGAAGATTTAACTACCCGCATAACTCTGTAAATGCTGAAGTTCCTTTCTAAACTTTCTCTACATTCCTGTGTTTCTCAACAATTCACCGTTTTCTTTATCGTATGACCTTATAGTCCTTGTTAAAGATTTTACCAATAGTTGACACCTAGATATGGTGGTCAGGCTTGTATATCACAGTGACCCAGCGAGCTACACTGACTGAAACGTCTATTCCCCCGTTCGATATTTGCCAACTTGCGGCATCTGTAGCGCGACTGGCGAGATATCTAACTACTTATCGAAGGACCAATATACGCGCTGCAGTTCGTCCTCTCCTGTTACGCAGCTGTGACGTCGGCCTTTAAAGTAGAAGATATGAAGCGGGTAAAGACTTTTGATCACAGGTTTCCCCGTAGCGTTGCTCGCGTTTGATAAAGTCCACCGTGTGAGCAATGTTGAGGTCAGGTGAGGGTACGAAGCACGAAAGGGAAGTCAGTCAATGAGGCTGTGAAAGTTTAGCGACTGAGGTGACTTGGACATGTTCTGTGCCCGCCGAACCACCGCCTACCTCGACGTGAGATGCTAAGGTTGAAAGAAGGTTCAGGGTGACCAGATCACGATGTGACACCAGTCGATGATGTCTCTGACTCCTGTTTTGAGCCGTGTGTTGAGGTGTAGACTACCTGACTGTGGTTCAAGCTAAGATAGGAATCAGTGGTTGAGGGACGTAGGTGACATGGTTGAAAATCGGTCACAATGACTCAGACATATTCACTCTTTGATTTCTTCTAGAGTTTGAATATTTTGATTAACCTTCATCTTTAAACTCCCTTTCTCCTCATAAACTTTAGTCTACTTTGATATCAGTCTTCCTATCCATTTATTTTTTGTGTATTACTGTGAAGTGTGGTGAATTGGACCGATACAATTGTTTAGAAGGTTCCACGTCGATTTTGTCTGTCTTTCAAAGACTCGAGTTCTCAGAAAGTATTCCTGGTCTCTTGGATATGTGTTCGAAACCACTTGGAGCATTTGTATTCTTATCTTCAACAAGCTGCACTGTTCAAAACTCAAGCATGTCTAGCCATAAATACATGCTATGTTTGTGAGACACACGTAGACGACCCATGTATGTACATTCAATTAACATCGCCTAGATAGTGTTTGGAATCTGCGAAATTCATTCTTCAATTTCCGTCTGTTCCTTGGCTAGTGATCACAGCATTTCATGTGTAAGTATAGCGCTTAGTCTCAAGGTAGAAAGCGTGCTGCTTAAGAGAGTCCCGGTTGACCTCAGAATATGCATTGTTCGACTCAACGGCACAGTGATGACCGAAAAGAATATCAAGATTCACTGTTTCTATTTTTAATAAATGCGTACGTATCCCACTAACTACATTTCAAGTAAAGTGACGCATGCATTCTACCGAAAAATGTCTAGCCTTCTAATGAAATATAAATTTCAAATGTGATTGTTATAATACGAGGTTTCAGTGCACAATTATGCAGGCTATTTTAGTTTTTTTATCAGACATGTCACGTTGTAGGAAGGCATGTAGGTGTTATTTCTGACGAACGCAGAGATAACAGCGATCGCTTCTTACATCTGTACTATAACAGCCACATATTCTTGGCTAGCCTGAATTAAGCACAATGAAATACTGTCTTGCCCGGTGTCTACCGACCTTAACTCATTCATGGACACAAACCATACCGTTTTCAGTTATTGTTGAAGTCTATGTGCTCCTTCTTGAGCAAGTGTTTAAACAACGATCAAACAATATCTCAAGCATGCGTTTCTGCTCCTTAATAAGTGTAGGAAAACTACAGCGACAGGACTATTGAGAGTATGCACCTTGTCGATGAAAACACTGAGGTTTCTTTCAGCGATTAACTGTCTAAACTTATCGGAATATCCAAGTGTCACTCATCATGAAAAAGCTTGGTGTCGTTTCCATTCTACTGTAAAAACAGCTTGGAAGATTTTAACTAAGGAAAATATGTGAAAGGCTTGATAAATCGCAGCAGCTTCATCTGAATTGATGGGTTCATGCAAACGCATTCCTACAGACTCCAAGCATCTTGAGGACTGGCAGCAACACAAATGTGGATTGCAAAGAAATCTACATTATCACAACGAGATGTGGTGGGTTGCGAACGCGAAAGAGATAGACAAGGCGGCAGCAATAGATATCTGTAGACAGCAATTTTGACTTGTGCGAAACATTTGATAGCTAGTGAGACTGTTGCGGAGACGAATGAGTCAGTCGTTCACTCACAGAGATGAAGACTGAAATGACAGATGAAACACTTCATGGAACAGTCTAACTGCCCTCCAGCTATTACTTTGCTTCCTGTTATCCATCCCTATCCTGAATGGAATATTGAGATATGACCTGGAACTCTTGCAGAAGTGGAGAGAGCTGTAGCGAGGAAGGGAATCAGAATCGGACAACCTAGTACCTGAGGTGTTTGAGAATGGTAGTCATGGATTGTTGGTGAGGTTAACTGAAGCGGTAGCTAGCGTATGGCATTCAGATGTGACCCCACTGGAGACTGATCTGAATCACTAATTGTCCCAGTCTTCAAGAAAGGTGATAAATCCTGTTGTGATAACCACAGGGGAATCAGTCTGGCGAACACGGTGTCTTCATTCTATAATCATCGGGGGCCTAACTAATGCTTAGGAGCAGTGAATTGAGGAAAGTTAGACAGTTTCCAGACCTGTTTGTGGTTGTAGTGATCAGATATTCACCTTCCGCCATGTTAAGGGACACAGGCACACTTACCGGCTCACGCTAGTAGCTGTATTTCTTTGTTGATGTGAAGGCGGCATTTGACTCCGTCGACCGAGGAGTCTTATGGTAGTGTCTCTCACAGAAAAGAGTACTGGATAAGTGCATCACTGTGTTGAAGGCTGAGGGCGTGTTAGAGCCCATGGTGATTTGTCAGGTGAGTTGTGTATGTCGAGTGGTTTTCGTCAAGTATGTTTCCTCTCCATTACTGTTCCGTGTCGTTGTTGGGGTACTTGTGGTGGTTTCTCTTTCGTCGTCTGAGTTTGCATGAATTTATCGTATTACAGGAGAAGCCTGAGGGAGATCTATTGTATGTAGATGACGTATTCCTGTTAGGTGAAGACGCTGGGAGGATGTAGAGTTTTCTGTAGACCTTGAGTTGCAATTTGAAAGTGTTTGAGATATTTTTCACGCTGCTCAAGTGCGAATTGTTGCATGAGGACTCGTTTTTACTGGTGATTTGTTCAACAGTGGAGAATGGGATGATGGAGAGTGTTGACCATGTTACCTATTTGGAAAGTCAGATCAGCCGTGGTGGGTCATTGACCATCAAAATCTGTGTACAGATGCAGGGTTGTCGTTGTCTTTCGCCATTTGTGGCCTCGCCGCGCTTTCCGATGGTATAGTTTACTACTCTGTGGTTCTCTCCGTTTTACTGTATGTTTGTGAAACATGGACATTTAAAGGCTCTAGGTGTTCGACCAACCTTTCCTTCATAGAATAGGCCGTGTTTCGTGGTGTCACCACATAAGTAATGCAGAAGTCAGGTGTAGAGTTTTAAGAAGGAAAGGAAAATCATTTGATGCGGTTTTGGATCTTCGTCGACTGGATAGGTTGTAGCATGTGTCAAGCACGCCTAGTCACTGTCTCCCTCATCGGGCAGTGTTCTGCTTTTTTTTGACCGATTTTTCTTGTTTTCATATTTGTTACCTATTGTTCTAGTATGACATGTGGCAGCTTGGACTGTTACGCAGTAATGCCTGGTTCTGTGTTGTTATTCATGAGGTGATGGGGTTTTCAACCTTCAGTTACTCAAATGTCATAGACATGTTACGTGCGCTCCTAGTTACCGACTGCTCCATCATGCAATGTTAGCTGAAGTATGTTTAAGTTATAAAGATGTTTGAGGTGAACAGAATGGAACACAGCATCAGTACGTCAAGGCCGATTGTTGTTTAGAGCTGTTTAAAGGGACAGAGCGACAAAATCGACGTGGAACCTTCTACACAATTGTATCGGTCCAAGTCACTACACTTCACAGTAATACACAAAAAATAAATGGATAGGAAGACTGATATCAAAGTAGACTAAAGTTTATGAGGAGAAAGGGAGTTTAAAGATGAAGGTTAATCAAAATATTCAAACTCTAGAAGAAATCAAAGAGTGAATATGTCTGAGTCATTGTGACCGATTTTCAACCATGTCACCTACGTCCCTCAACCACTGATTCCTATCTTAGCTTGAACCACAGTCAGGTAGTCTACACCTCAACACACGGCTCAAAACAGGAGTCAGAGACATCATCGACTGTGTCACATCGTGATCTGGTCACCCTGAACCTTCTTTCAACCTTAGCATCTCACGTCGAGGTAGGCGGTGGTTCGGCGGGCACAGAATATGTCCCAAGCCACCTAAGTCGATTAACGTTTGCGTATGATTTTGAAGAACGGTTTCATTGGCTGATTTCTATCGTGGTAGCAGATGTTAGTTCCTTTACATCATCATCATCATCATCATTATCAACATAGGACCAGGCATTACTGCGTAACGGTCCGAGTTGCCACACCTCATATCAGCACATCACGTAAAAAGGTAGTGAGGTGAAGGATGAAGATAAGTGAATGCAGTCAAAAGAAATATAAAGTACGAGAAGAAAGGAAAGAGGAGTGACAAAATAGTGAGATTCGGTATATAGTTCCTTTACTGCAATCTGCATCCCGCGTGCCACTGTAGATGACTTCTGCAACCAACTAAATGATTTCAGTTATGTGACGTAGATAAATATACCAGTGCCAGCTAAAGAGTAAGATGCATATGTGGTGGTCTAGACTACAAATATATGCAGTAAAGGAACTAGACTACAAATATAGTTCCTTTACTGCATATATTTGTAGTCTAGACCACCACATATGCATCTTACTCTTTAGCTGGCACTGGTATATTTATCTACGTCACATAACTGAAATCATTTAGTTGGTTGCAGAAGTCATCTACAGTGGCACGCGGGATGCAGATTGTTGAAGAATAAGTAGACGTAACGTAGAGACATCGTTCTCAGAGCAGAATGTAGCGGTTAAGAGATACACCATGTCATGATGGTATGATCGTGCATTAGTATTTGTAGATTAGGAGACTGCACTTGGTGTTTGCTACGGTAGAGTTCTTCAGAGTTAATGAACTCACTTAAATTCCTTCCTAATATTTGAAAAGTATATATTTTGGCCTGTGCAACGTGATAGTGTCATAAGCTCGCTAACAACAAGTGTAAATCATAGCTTAGTACATGAAGATGTACCAGGTTGAGTTACATCAAGCATTAGAACATATTAGTGTCTTATCTATCCGTTTTTGTGACGTTCTCTGCCAGTTATGCATTATTTTGTTTTTCATTTGCATCATGTTATGTTTTGGAACTGAATGATGTATCCGGCTAGCTGATGGATTATCTTAGGCCGGTAGATAATAAACTGTATATTTATAGTGTAAGAGGTTTTTATTACTTTCGACTTATTGAGTAGTAATTTTACACTGGAAATTTGCAAGAATTTTTGTGTAGGTATATGGCGGTGCATGGGTAAATCAGCTTGTATATTTCTTGTCATAATGATTGCATCCTTTTACGGATATATGTACATCTTTTAGTTGGTTAACACGTTTTTTAATTAAGTCAATTCTTTTTGCTTGGATTTATTTAGATTAGATATAAAATTAAAAGAATTAATTTCAAATCAATCAGTCAGGTCAGATGTGTTCAGTTACTTGGAAAGTCATCTGCAGCTGAAGCACAAAGCTGTGATGCGTAGACTGAAAAAATTGAAGGAAGACAAACAGGAACAGAGAATGCATCCATTGTTAGACTCACTTGGAGAAGGTATGCAATCAAACAGTAAATTCATGGTTAATTATTAAGCTGAATGTATATAAGGTATTTACTTTGAGAGTAGAAGAAAGAGAAAGTTGTTTCCTTCATTTATCCATCATCAAACTACCGAACAAGGGTTTTTGGAAAGGTCTCCAAACTTCTTTGTGATGCATTGTTAAACTGGTACACATTTTCCTCACACAGCATTACCATAGTTTTTACTAACTGCTTTATTCATGCATGCAGACAGATAGGCAGCCTCAACACAGAACCTGGAATTACTGTTTAACGTTTCAAGCTACCACACTTCATATCAGCACATCAAGCGAAAATTCACTGAGGGAAAAGATAAAGAAAGCAGTTAGAAGTGGTAAAAGTCATTTTAAAAAAGCAAGGAGGAATGAGAGAATACTGAAATGCAGTACGATGTCGTACTGCTGGATGGACGAAATGTGACAACAGTAGGGCGTTTTTGCGGATAACCAGTTTCCCCATGCTGATGCCGTCTATTTTTAAAGATAATGAAAGGGGTTAGAAAAAGGCGACCCTGACCCGACGATATACTGGTGTTATAGGTTCATAGTTGGATTAAAAGAAAAAGTAAAATCTTAGACTTCTAAAAAGCAACATGTGAGCGACAGATGTCTCTTAGGTTTCGCGGTTACGCAGTAACTCTCCCTTTACAGGTATCTCAAATGGAGATGACCTCTGATGGTGTGTGTAGTGGGGGAATTTCAATGTCCCTGACAACTCTGTCAGCACTTATCCTCCATGAACATGTCAACGACAACACGGAACATTGATGGAGAGGAAACATACTTGACGAAAACCACTCGACATACACAACTCACCTGACAAATCACCATGGGCTGTAACACGCCCTCAGCCTTCAACACAGTGATGCACTTATCCAGTACTCTTTTCTGTGAGAGACACTACCATAAGACTCCTCGGTCGACGGAGTCAAATGCCGCCTTCACATCAACAAAGAAATACAGCTACTAGCGTGAGCCGGTAAGTGTGCCTGTGTCCCTTAACATGGCGGAAGGTGAATATCTGATCACTACAACCACAAACAGGTCTGGAAACTGTCTAACTTTCTTCAATTCACAATTGTTCCATCAGCATGGCTTGTTGAGTCATTGTGATATGTAGTCCGGGCCACCACGTCATGGTGGCAACTGTTTGTCATGGCTTTATTCATGCAACAAAATATATCCGTTCAATACAAAGGTTTTAATATTCAAAAGAACAATTCATAGGCTCACTGTGTTTCAGAATCTAAAATTTTACTTTCTGCTTAGTACTCATCAGATTGAAGCTCTTTACCAGCAGACTAATCACTTTAGATGAAAACAGTTTACATGCTGGGTTAACAGTAATCAATATCAACATTAGACCTAGTATTATTGCACGTTGTAAGTTACGATATCTTATTGGAGTACATGAAGATACGTAGGGAGATACAGAACAATGAGATAGAAATAACATGATCAATGGTGGCTATAGATTGTAAGTCATATTTGATAGGGGGAACTAGACGGAAAATGACGAATTTTAAAGCGTTGCATAAGTCAGGTGAATGAGATAACTATCTCAAGTTGCATCTGTTCTTTCCTGTTGTTAACTGTGCATAAGAGTGCTGCTGGATTTGCTCATGATATTCACCATTCTGCAATCAACAGTTATCTGTACTTAACAGCCTTTAGAATCCCGTGGTTAATAATGATCATGATTTTTCACTACATCCATATCTTATCCTTGAACTTATTTCTCCTATGAGGCAATTGCAGCTGGATTTCTTTACAGTCTAAGCTGCAAGCTATGCTATATACTACACTGAAAAAGACTTGGTTTGTCGGTTCTTGTGATGACCGTTTTTGGCAACAGTTCATTTTAGACAAACAATCCAGGAATAATTTACTTCACCACTATTTCTAATAGCTTTCTACCTGTGTATAATCTGTATACAGTTTCCAGTGAAAATAGGCTATACAATGCCATTCTCTGTGTCCTGTTAGGCAGCTGTGACATCGGCCTTTAAAGTAGAAGATATGAAGCGGGTAAAGACTTTTGATCACAGGTTTCCCCGTAGCATTGCTCGCGTTTGATAAAGTTCACCGTGTGAGCAATGTTGAGGTCAGGTGAGGGTACGAAGCACGAAAGGGAAGTCAGTCAATGAGGCTGTGAAAGTTTAGCGACTGAGGTGACTTGGACATGTTCTGTGCCCGCCGAACCACCGCCTACCTCGACGTGAGATGCTAAGGTTGAAAGAAGGTTCAGGGTGACCAGATCACGATGTGACACCAGTCGATGATGTCTCTGACTCCTGTTTTGAGCCGTGTGTTGAGGTGTAGACTACCTGACTGTGGTTCAAGCTAAGATAGGAATCAGTGGTTGAGGGACGTAGGTGACATGGTTGAAAATCGGTCACAATGACTCAGACATATTCACTCTTTGATTTCTTCTAGAGTTTGAATATTTTGATTAACCTTCATCTTTAAACTCCCTTTCTCCTCATAAACTTTAGTCTACTTTGATATCAGTCTTCCTATCCATTTATTTTTTGTGTATTACTGTGAAGTGTGGTGACTTGGACCGATACAATTGTGTAGAAGGTTCCACGTCGATTTTGTCTGTCTGTTTTTCTGTAGTAGACTGTTTCCTATGTCACTTGTAAGTTATGTAACCAAAATTTCCGAAATATCAGGAATCCTGCCTGGTTGCAAACACAACTTTAAAGTGAGTTTTAGTCCAACAAAATTGTGTTTTTCCGTAACCGAATACTCATTTGCAGTGTAACATAAAGTCTTTATCATTTTGGTGTTTTTCTGGCTGGTTATCAAGCTATTTCATCGTCTATGCCTCCGATTGTTGAAAGTTATGCGAAAGACAAAGAGGTTCACTTGGAACGCGTTAAAGCCTGGCAAACAGAGTAAGTTCATCTAATTGTAATATTTTTTTCACTCTGCTCGGTGAAACTGTAACATTTTCTAACTGATCGAATTGCAGTCACTTGTTTTACTATTTGCAACATGCCATACCTTATGCGATTGATCTGTTTCACAACTTGTGCATTTCGTGTCAGCGAGCTGAAATGAATTTCTCCCAGCAACCTTGTGCACGTTCATGCAATTGGCTATGAGCCACAACTATGTGGGGTTAATGATGCTTGCTACCTGACTCCTCCATACCTCAGTAGTAGGTGGGGCCTGTTTCAATCCCCACAATTCACTGGTTGGAAGTCAACGCCCTAAACCAATGAACCAGAACTCCAAATAGTGGCAATTGGTGGTGAATATTTGAGATGAGTAAAACGGAATAAATGTGTGTATGACAGTGAATCAATTTTTTTGTCTCGCAGTTTCATCTCATATTGAATGTGAATACAGTGATAACTTTTTCAACTATTTTTGGCCTCAGAAATTTGCAGAATGGTTTGGATTTACCAGATTGTCAGGGTGCTAATGGTTCAATCGATGGTAACTTGTCCAAACGACCTTCGAAACCTGGTCCTCCCAAAAAAATCTATCGCTGGAATTCTGAATGCCGGTAAGTTATCTCCTATTATCTCTTCCTCTGTTTGTGCTTAGTATGTCATTGTCAGTATTACAGGGCAAGGTTGCATACCTTACAAAAATAAAGTTTGTAAAATAATGGTATAGTATTATAGAACCAAACTTACCTTTTTACTGACCGAAAACTATTGTTAGTGAGAGTACCACGAAATGCATCATAAAAAATAGTATAAAACTATATAAACATATAAATGATATAGTCAGGGAAAATGGCAAAAGCACTAAAGTCTAAAAAAGGAGTAATTTGTTAGAGAAGCAGCCTCCAGGATAAATTCAAGGTAGTTTTCATTATCTCTGTTTTATTTCCCGATAACAGAAAAAACAAGAAAGCATGAGAATAGTTTGAATTCTGAGCCACATCATCTCAAGCCACAACTATGCTTCGTTCCACAGTGCCACATCATGCACTGACCACCTCTGCTCTTCATCATACCAGACCACAGGCTTACCAACAGTGAACTATGAAGGAGTTTTTGGAACGACATTTGTAGCTAGAACTCAAGCCACCGAATTGGATGGTTAAAGATTACTTCATTCATTAAATGTCAGTCTCAGTCACATTCAAAAACACTCTACCTCAGCTTAGAATCACTTACTTATCGTTGTCACTAGGTGCTAGCAATCTCACAAAGGCCTATAATTGAGGAAGCAGAGCAGAATTGCTCGCATTGACGTGTTGTACACCCGAGATCTTACAACCCGGTTATGGTGATGACGGTGCCAAATGTGATCTTTGTTGGCCCTATGTCACTCTGGCTTTCCGGATTCATTGGAAAATCTCACTAGTCACACCACCAGAAACTGCACAAACTTTTCGATAATTTCCAACAGTTCACTACTAAGGGTGAGTGCAGGCATAGACTCTAGCCAATCATATAAAAGCGATTCGCACTTTAATGGTGATTAGAACGTTTCATATTTAGAAAAATTGATTGAGTATTATTTAAATGATCTGTGTGCTGTCACACAGTAAGACAGTATCGTTCCCATACTCAAGGTCGAAGACTTTCGCTTAGTGACAGGTCTATATCATCACCACGTACCTCCTTAATGGTTGTCTCGAGAGTGTTATCAATGGCGATATCGCGCAGCACGCAGTGGTTGGATTTCCTTACTCTACGTAAGGTGTTTTTGTACACGTCTTTCAAAATGTTGGAAAACTTCCCAAGGACATCTCTCCCTAACAGACAATTCCAGAATACAGTTCTGTTCGATGAAATCGGGGGCAGCCCTGATGTTGTAAAACACAATGGCCTGTAGCCAGCGATGCATGGCGATATTTGAGTATATGGCGGAAAGTAAACTCGTAATCAACGCATCTACGACGTGACTGCAACCTCTTTTAGTCCTTGCGTTATTGCTTTTTCATGTGTTTCACAAAATGGGGTAGCAGTTAAAATTTTAGACTCCAGTGTGACCCGGCCAATAGCGTTTAAAGAATGGCTACAACGACAGCTTGACTTCATTAATGGCTAATTCTCGACTTGACGTACCTTCTCAACCAGTCTGATTACTTTCCTGACTATGGTGTGATCTTCATTCTTCCAAAGAGCCAGGAGTTAGATGTCTGAACCGATTGCCTTATGGCGCTGTGGTACTTGGAGTTCCTTCTAAACTTCTAGTTCTTTAAATGGCTGATTAATAACCAATCTTGGAACATAAGGCACCAAAGTTAGTGTTGCTGGAACAGTAGGTTTGTTAAGTTGTCCTTTAATGTGCTCCAGGTGTCCACCGGGGAGGTAGTATCTACTTAATGGAGTGTGTCACTGACACCAGTTTTCTTGCTGCTGGTGGCCCTGATGAGTTGGAACAGTTCCCAGCTGGGAGCAGATGCAATTCCCGCTTCCATCTCAGTCGCACGTTCTGAAGAGACTTTACAGTCTTAACGTAATTGCTGTATAATTTGTCGTGTAATATTTGGCTCGATAACTTTTATTGTGCTGAGTACAACATATCATCCTAGAATTGTACTATCAACATGTCATTTGTGTTGGATGAGCACAAAATGAGATTCGTACTATTTGACGCAAAGAAATTCTTACCCAGTTACTCCAATATTGAGTAATCTTTCGTTTTCAAACAAAAATTATGTACGTTTGCATATTTTTGGAGCTAGCTTCCCATTCTGACTTCTACGGTAATCATCTTCGTTGTCCTGATTCCACATCATATGGGTATGTTATATCCTTTGCACCATCAAAGTGCAAAGTACTTTTGGAAGATTGCAGGAGCCTGTGCTTGCGCTCGCTGTCGGTGGTGAGCCTTTGGAAGTAGTCGGAAAGTTCATATATCTGGGTATTTATGTGAGTGCTGTTGGAGGTATGAGTGATGAAATTTATAGTCGCTTGTCGAAAGCCAAAGTGGCATACGTCAATCTAGGCCACCTTCGGCGCTGTCGCAACATTAGTCTGGCCGTAAAAAGTGGGGTTTACAAAATTTTGGTGCGAGCACTTTTGGTTTACGCCGGTGAAACCTAACTCCTTTGAGCTGAGGATGTGCGGTGACTGTGTGTTCGATCATCGTTGTCTCCGTAGGATTACTGGTGGCAACACCATGTAGGTAATTCTGATGTACGCTAATATGTGTTTGGGCATAATGGAGATCGTCATTCAATAAATGAAATTATCTGGAAACATCAGCTTCAGTGGCTTGGACATGTGTCACGCATGTCGTCCTAACGGCTTCCATGCTGTTCATTGTTTACTAACCCTGGACTGGATTTTAGAAGCGGAGATGGTGATGAGTGTATGACGTGGCGCCGTGGGATGAAGGACATTTTTGTGTTCCAATATCTGTAATAATAAATGCATCATATAACTGGGACTTTCCTGATGAGAATGAGTACACCATTCTGATAATTAAATTCATCTATTTATTATGGTGAATTAGTTCACTTTCAATTAATTTGCTAAAGTTTAACCTAAAACGACTGGATTTTTTACATGCTAATCACAGGCAACTTTTCGAGAAAATCATTCTTTGTCGACTTGAAAGTTATAAACTGTTGAATATAAAAGGCTCCGCTGAAGACTATCTTAGACGTCTGTTTCCAACTTTAATACAACTTTGGCCTGATGGCTGGATGACTAACGCGTGAGTATTTTTCATTCTGCGCAATGTTCCTTGTTCATTTTACGAGTTTTGAGTGTAGACTATTGTTTAAATAGGCAGGCACAAGATGACAACTTATTACTTCTCTATCTTCGATTACATTTTGGTTTATGTTGCACATCTCACATTTTTTGAGAGAAATCGTGTAAGTTGCACTGAGTTTATGGTTTTTTTCTATGCAAGGAAGTGTACCGTTCTGTTAGTGAAGTTACATGGAACGTAGACTTAGACTATTTGAATACACCTTTATCCCAGTTTGTTGAATTCTGCATTAAAAATTGTTCACCAACTCAACTAATTTTAAAAAGCAATGGTGGTGAGTTTGGCATATAGGTTCGTAGAATGAAGGGTATTTTTCGCTGTACCAGCTTACATTAAAGTATATCCATGTCCCAGTTATCGTTGTATAAGTCATGTAACTGATTATCTCGATTTATTGCTTGTTGTTTCGTAGATGTCCTTTGTCTTTCATTTTAACAGTAATCCAGGCAGAAAATAAAGAAATATGTTTGGAGCGTATTGTATGTAGCTGCTGATCTCTTGGCATTATTATTTCCATTAAGTGATTTAGTAAATTTTTTTAAATTGTGTATAAAACGTAATCCAGTAAATAATACTGTTTCACGGTTACATGTAGTAAATCAGCTAAAATAATTCGGTTTTGATAGGAATATTATACAATAATCATTGATTGGAGTAGTGGTTGCCACCTATTACTCTGTCACTGAGGAATTAAAACATCCTAAAATTGATTATTTCATGATAATATATTCCTTTCTGACAACTTTTTTTCAGTGCTCTATGGCGTACTGCTTTACCAATCTTCCAGAAATTTTGCAGTGATCAGTAAGTTTATCGTTTGTTGAACGAATAAACAATCTATTTTCTGTATCTTGACGTCAAAAAAACCATTAGAACAAGAACAGAAAGATTTAATGACCTAGTATCAACTCAGCAAAAGAGTGTTATTCACTTAAACAACTTAACACTTTGCGGTACATTGTTTTTGCCATCTCCGATAAATGACATGCAGAAACAACTTAAGTGTGGATTGGAAAGAAATCTACACTATGACAACAAGATGTGGTGGGTTGCGAACGCGAAAGAGATAGACAAGGCGGCAGCAATAGATATCTGTAGACAGCAATTTTGACTTGTGCGAAACATTTGATAGCTAGTGAGACTGTTGCGGAGACGAATGAGTCAGTCGTTCACTCACAGAGATGAAGACTGAAATGACAGATGAAACACTTCATGGAACAGTCTAACTGCCCTCCAGCTATTACTTTGCTTCCTGTTATCCATCCCTATCCTGAATGGAATATTGAGATATGACCTGGAACTCTTGCAGAAGTGGAGAGAGCTGTAGCGAGGAAGGGAATCAGAATCGGACAACCTAGTACCTGAGGTGTTTGAGAATGGTAGTCATGGATTGTTGGTGAGGTTAACTGAAGCGGTAGCTAGCGTATGGCATTCAGATGTGACCCCACTGGAGACTGATCTGAATCACTAATTGTCCCAGTCTTCAAGAAAGGTGATAAATCCTGTTGTGATAACCACAGGGAATCAGTCTGGCGAACACGGTGTCTTCATTCTATAATCATCGGGGGCCTAACTAATGCTTAGGAGCAGTGAATTGAGGAAAGTTAGACAGTTTCCAGACCTGTTTGTGGTTGTAGTGATCAGATATTCACCTTCCGCCATGTTAAGGGACACAGGCACACTTACCGGCTCACGCTAGTAGCTGTATTTCTTTGTTGATGTGAAGGCGGCATTTGACTCCGTCGACCGAGGAGTCTTATGGTAGTGTCTCTCACAGAAAAGAGTACTGGATAAGTGCATCACTGTGTTGAAGGCTGAGGGCGTGTTAGAGCCCATGGTGATTTGTCAGGTGAGTTGTGTATGTCGAGTGGTTTTCGTCAAGTATGTTTCCTCTCCATTACTGTTCCGTGTCGTTGTTGGGGTACTTGTGGTGGTTTCTCTTTCGTCGTCTGAGTTTGCATGAATTTATCGTATTACAGGAGAAGCCTGAGGGAGATCTATTGTATGTAGATGACGTATTCCTGTTAGGTGAAGACGCTGGGAGGATGTAGAGTTTTCTGTAGACCTTGAGTTGCAATTTGAAAGTGTTTGAGATATTTTTCACGCTGCTCAAGTGCGAATTGTTGCATGAGGACTCGTTTTTACTGGTGATTTGTTCAACAGTGGAGAATGGGATGATGGAGAGTGTTGACCATGTTACCTATTTGGAAAGTCAGATCAGCCGTGGTGGGTCATTGACCATCAAAATCTGTGTACAGATGCAGGGATGTCGTTTGTTTTCGGCAACTGACGTCACTTATGACTTCAACTGTGTATCAGATTGTCAGTTGGGGGTCGGGTGTATCGCACTGCAATTTGCTGCGTTTTACTGTATGTTTATGAAAGGTGGTCATTGTAGTTCGAGGACGTGAGAAGGCTCAAGTTGTTCGACTAGCTCTAGGTTTATAGCAAGGGTCATGTATCGTGGAGCCACCGCATCACTAACGCACATAGGAGTCAGACGCAGTGTTTTTTCGTAGAAGAAAGTATTCAGTTTATGAGGTTATCAACCTTCAGCAACTCCAGTGTCATGGATTTGTTGCACACACCTAGTTACCAGCTGCTACACTATACAATTTTAGGTGTATTATGCTTAGGCTCCAAAGAAGTTTGAGGCGAACTGGGTGAAATACGGCTTGAATTCTGACTGTTTGTTTTAGACTTTCCTAGGAATACGGATGTCCTGATTGGTGTCCACATGATAACTGAAATCAGTGTACAGGCACTTAGGAGAATATAGCGTAGGACATATGTTGGTGGCGCAAGTACAATTATCGACACATTATCATCATATTTGTCCTACCGAACTTCGTTGGTTTCATTACTTTTATCTAAGGTAGCTTTCTGAGCTCAGAGAACACAATACAACCAGGTTTCATCACTACTTATTCTCGTTTTACAACCAACTATTTATAATTAGTGTCTTCCTAATTTCTCTAACTTCCATCTTGATATCCTATACGTTGATGTGCTGATATGAGATTTATCAAGTTGGATAATTCCATGTCGCTCGTTTTTGCCGATGTACTGAAAATGTTATGCAACTTTTTTTGGGAAAATTAGTTTTAAGAATTTATAGATTTATTGACAAGAATGGTATGGGATAGTGTTGGTTTGTTTTTGAAGTTAGGGTAAGTATTGCATCAGTGAACTTCTATGCCTTAACACTAATCACTAAGACAATTTCTTTTTGATTAGTTAATGTTCATTTCTGCCTCCAGATTAATTTATTTTTGATACTTGGAAAGCACTTCTTTTTCCAAACATTCATAATAGTAATAAGAAACCAAATAAAAGGAGGCTTAAACACAAGTTGAAACAGAAAAGAAATTGTTGTGACTGTAAACTGAATGCTTATGTGGCACAGAACAGTTTTGAACTATTTGACTGAAAGCCTTTTCAGACTAGTTTAAGCGAAAGCCTACATTAAGCTATTTGTTTTAGACTAATTAAATAATTTGGTTCATGATCCTTGTTTGATCAATGTGTAAATTGACTGTCAATTACGAGCATATGCACACTGTAAATAAGTCCATTCATTGGACTGTTCTTCAGCAAGTTATCCTTTCATTGTATTCATCTCTTCATTCCTCTTCGCTGTAGAAAACGGATGCATTACAAAGATTTCGGTTAATCTTTAATCTAGAAAATGTACTTTTTGATGACATTAGTTTAAGTTGGGAAGTAGTGCCGTAATATGTATGAGACTGTTTGTTAAATATGGTTTTTTAAATACACTTCATAATCGATGTTTCCTTATTAACTCTAGTTTGTACGGTGTACTTTTTTCACACTACACTTGCATGTCACACAATATTTGCCTCTCTCTGTGTCTTACTCTAGTGGTTTATGCAACAATACATCAACGTCTCAGTCAACTACGAAAACTTCAACTAACAATAACTTGATGAACACAAACAATAGTAAAAATTCCGTCTCATCATCTACGAACTCGACACCTTTGGCTGACTCCAGTGTTTTATCACAAAATTCGCCAGTTGTCATTGTGCCTAATATTTCTAATATTTCAGCATCGACTGTGGCTAAAACAGTTCCAAAAGTAACTACTTCTGTCGTATCAAACAACAGTCCTCGTACAAGCCTATCGGTTGTTTGCAGCCCTAAATCTGGTTCGCATCCAATCTCCGTTACAAAACACTGCCAGTTGTCTCCTACAGTACAGTCAACTTCGCAATCAGCAAACCGGTCTAACTTCCGAATTACTTCATCTACAGTTAATCAAAGTTCAAATAGCTTAAAACCTACTAATAAAGCCCCAGTTACCGTTTGCATAGACACTGGGTCATCTCGCCTGTCGTATGTACTTCAGTCCACAGCGGGGTCTTTATCATCAAACTCATTAGTAGTCTCTCTAGCATCCTCAGTATCACAGGCCTCACAACTCACTCGCACACCTATTTTGCAAAATGAAGCTGTGCTTGGTCGAACTGCTAATTCAACCTTACCTCTGCGTCTTGTTTCATCCAGTTCTACAAATCCAACATCGTCTGTTTTAGTATCTAAGGCAATACAGCTCAGTTCTGAATTTGGAAAGCCCTTGGTCAACACAATTGCTCTAAAGAGGTATGTTTTACCATATGGGTCGATTTTCTTGCAAGCGTGTAAATAATGTACCTCAAAGTGAAACTTTTTGCCTGAGTTTGTATTGGTCCTTTCGAGCTTAAAACTGTAGTCTTCAATTACAATAAGCATATAACCAACTGAATTTGTGCTTTTTCTCAATTTTTGTGGATATATAGTGTATAACTCATCACTGTATCTAAATACGGTTAGAATTAGAGTAAATTGTGATTGATATTTGTGGACAGATTCGGGATAGGTTAAAAGAAGCCAAGATGGAGGTGAAAAGTTAATCATGGTCAGTCAAATTATTAACCACTTACTTGAATTGTGCATGGAGGCAATCAGCAAGAAACTATGGATCTACGTAGAACTGTAAGCTTACTGAGTCGGCTGGAGAGGGAAATAGGAGTAAGTGTTTAGTGACTTTGAGGGATAGTTACAAAAATTAATCCGATGCCATACTCTACGTTTACTCTTGGTCTGACAAATAAAAATACACCCACTGATGTTATACTTGTCTTATTGTGTTAGCTTGAATAATCTTATTTTTATCATATTTCTGCAGTTGATATTATTACAGTCAGCTAGTCAAACAAGAATTGACTGGTGCAGGTTTGTGGATGTCAACTCGGTTTTTCGTATTCACAATAGAGTCCTATCAGTGGCCAATGCACTTCCCCGTAAATGTTCGATAGATTGCTTTCATTAGTCAACAACAGCAAACTTATCATATAGTATGTTTTCAAGTTAGCAATAATACCTTTATGTAACTCCCTTTCTTGTGTTTAAACTGATTCGCAAATGTTTACCATGTATTTTTGTTAAGTATTGTGATTTTTGTGCCTTGATCAGAAAGTCATGGGGAGAAAGCTTTATCAAGATTGTCCTTATCGTCATTATAGTGGTGATGAACCCCTAATTTATCGGAGATCGGTTTGGTATCACAAAACCTAGAGTACGTTATCGAGAAATACAAGTAGCGTCTCTTTTCTCTCATACAAGTTCTGCTCGCTTTAGTATCATTCTTTTTGTTTTCATTTTCTCTTTATACACTGTTAGAAGACGTGATAACTAGACCCAATTAACTTCTGTGAAGGGTTTTACGGTGTGTCAATCAACTTTCACCAACTACTTCCCTTATTTTAATTACGATATGCTCTTCGCATCATCAAAGTGCAAAGGAAAAACAACGGTGCCAAGATGGCACGAAAACAACGATAATAAAGTTATTTAAAGGTTATATGCAAATACCAAACAAAAGTTAGGTAAAATAAGAGATATATGACAATTGCCTCCGCGTCGCCTTGGGTTTTGCCGCTCGCCACCATTTCATTTTCTCTTTTAAAATCTTGACTTGAACTTTTTCTGCCTTTCATCAAGTCAGGGGGTGTTTATCTTGCGCTTGCATTATATCTAATAAAGTTTCCCAGATCCACTTCCATATCCCTCTTGTAATTTTAGTAAACTGTAAACTGGATTTTTGTAGCTTGTTGCAAACAAGCATAAAGAGGCACAAAGCTGGACGTTATCCTTATGCATTTAAGTACTTCAAAGGGCTGAAAAGTTTCACACGGTCATCTCTACATTGTAACATGAGTAGTTTACGTATATTTTCAAAGTGACGCGTTTCAATGGAGACAGTCCATCGAACATGGGTTTATTCAATAGTTGTTAAAAGTGTATCATTATATAATTCAGAGCATTGTCACATCATCTGATAGATATATATGTATATTTTTGCAGACAATCCTATCCGCAGACCCAATATTCCCAACAGGCGCCAAATAATCAAGTTAGGTGCAATGATATAGGAAAATCATTAATTTCTGTCAGTGATAGTTTACCGAAATCTAGTCCGTCACAACCACCGAATTTCTCTCATGATTCAAATAAATTCAGTCAACCGTCGGCTTACCAGTCTGCAGCCGTCGCTTTATCTAACCAACAAATCGACCAACTACAACATCGAGCGTTATCTAGCACTGGTCGAGTTGGATTAAATTTGAATGCAACTCTGAATGCAGCAGCAGCTCTTCTCTTCCCTCCACAACCACCTCCTGCTCACCAGTCCAAGTGTCCTAACTTATCCCCTCAAAAAGAGCTCCTTGTGGAAAGAAACACTGGTAGCATACCTGCTGCTCATTCTACCAACAGTCATAAGTTCTAACAATTAAAGTGAACTTGAACGTTCCAGTGAGTTATACATCCCAATTTATTTTATGCCTAATCCCGTTTATTCGGTATAATATTATTTTCATGTTCTTCCATCGCCATCACTATTTTATTGACTTGATGGTGTCACTGATGTTGCTAATCGTAACTTCAATTAGGGCTTCTTCTTTAATACCATGATTGAAAAGCTGTGGGAATTACCAGAAGGCTTGTTCTATCTTATGCTTATGTTAGTACTCCTACTACTACCACTAACGGTCATATCAGCTAACTAAGAGAGAAATTGGAGTTATGACTCATTGGTCTAGACACGTGACATTGAACTAGTGAACCGCAGGTTCGAACTCCGATTCTCCTACTGAATTGTGTATAACCAGCTATTATCACTAGTCCTCATGCAGTAAGTGCAGTTCACTGCTTTCTGCACAAGGGTGCATATGTTTGCTGAGTGTATTCCGGTTTTTGGAAGAGAGAAACCAAGTTTACTCCACTAACACACAATAATAAGATACTTGACAGAATATTTTGAAGTGTACAGAGTCTAAAGAGTGTAAGCAACCTGGTTAGAATGTTAGAGAATGTGAACAAACGGTAGTAAAGTTAACACCATTCACTATTGGTAGGGTGTTGTTCTCATTCACCTTGCATAGGGATACAACAGTTTTGAAAATTATTGGGCTTTCAGTATTCATACAGTTTAAATATAGTTACAGCCAATTAAGTGGTTTTTAGCATTTAAAGGCTGTAAAAGCATATATATGCACCAATGGTTATGCTTGATTGACAGTTCAAGAAGCATTAAAATAGTTTCAGTGTTTACATTATTTTAACTGTGTTTTTCCAACCACTATGTTTTAATATTAGTATCCAAAATTTGATAGCTGGAATAGATTTTCGATCAGCTAAGTATAAGTATTCAAAATAGATTTCATAAGGTACATATTTTGTGTTATCTCTCGATTTGACCATTCTTTCATTTTAGTACTTTTACTTCATATAACATTTCTTAGCAATGAAGAGACTTGTATATTCTAGTTTCTTCGATTTAGTGTGAGTTGCATAACTATCCTGTTAAATGATCTATCCTCCTTCTATGCAGTGGTGCTGAAATCTTAAAATTAGTTGTACACTATACGGCTATCACTCAGCGACTCCTTCAAAGATACTTGTCGCCTCCTGATGTACTATGAATTTAACGGCTAAAATAATGCAGTTGAATTACATAGTGCATATCTCCTGATTGATATTCGAATACGTCACCGGTTATATTTGATTTCAGTAACTACTAAATAACATTTGTATAGTCATGTCTAGATTTTATTTTCAATAAGTTCGTCATAGCCAATCCTACATTTCTAGGTGGTAAGATAATCACTCCGAAACTAACTCATTGTTTAAAATATACCATGTGAGGTGATGATTGAAGGTGAAATGAAAACCTAAGCCGCAGCAGGAATTGAACTAGGCGACCTCTGGGTTACCGGCCCAATGCTCTACCAATTGAGCTACAAGATCCAGTTGCTGAGGAGATCTTAATTTCACTTTAGTCATCAAGCTGAGAATCCTCGTTTGAATTTTGGCAGATGCCAGGCGTTCCTAAGCTTTTTCAGGAATATTTAAATTACAGTATTTATTCAACATCGTTTATTTGGAGATTGTCGATTAAAGCCTCATTGTTAATTAGTGAACTCAGCGGTAATAGATTTAGTCGTAAGAAGTCGAAGACGGACGTTGTAAATCTGGAGTGACGTTTGAAATAAAGTGGAATTTAAAGTAGATACGGTTAGTTGAGATTGTATAGTGTCTTCAGTTCAGCTGATGCAATACACCGTCGTACCATTAATATGGTATATAAAGGTGTGTCACCTTATTGCACACTAGTTGACTGTAAATTTATACCTCGCTACCGAGAAAGTGAGCTGTAGGATTTCTTGAACTGTGTATAGCTAAACTTGTAGGTAGCCAGATACGAATTTAGACGTCCAATCTTCATCCATATATTTTCGAATATGTTGTGTAATAGTATGCGCACCTACACTGAATTTTGACGATATGTATTTCTTATTCATTTTCAGATGAAAACTAATTTGTGATGATAGCGTTCTCCCTCTCTTTCAGTCGCTTCCACTCTCCTGTTTATATACCTATGAATAAAACTATGTGCATTTATATATGAATACGTTACCATCACTTATTAGTATTACTATTATTACCAAACACATTTTCTGAAAACAATTCTCGATATTATAAAGTTTTGCATCTGATTTTTTAATAATTTTGAGGTGCTTTACCCTGTAATCTGTTTTCTTGTGTACATTGTAAAAAGCAAGCTTCCGCCCTACCTTCTCCAGTATCCTTTTATTTCCAGCTTATTTTTCACAGAGCGTGAGTCATAATGCCAACAATGTTTTGTATGTTGTTTTTTCTAAACTTTTTTTATTTGTTTCTTGTCAACAAATCCATTTTTTGTATGAAAGAAAGTGAGATAGTTTCTAATTAGTAGTGCTGCTGCTGTCAATTCTGGCATATTTCACTGTATTTTATTATATTCATCGTGGGTCAGTTATTCTTTATATTTACGGAAATGCTAGACATAGTTACTGTTTGATATCACCGTTTTCACCTATGTTTTCTTCGTAACATTCATGAGTATTATGCCACATCCTCAAATTCTGTGTATGTACGTCTAGTTCATTTATCTCGTATTGTGAGTAGGTTATGCACAAATGTGTTACTAGTATACTTCTTCTATTGCCTGCCGTACTACATAAAAAAAAACTTGGACGATACTAGTTTTCTTATAGCTACATTTTGACACGTTTCTGCTATTTACAAGTTGTTTTTATCGAAAAGGATTTAGAAAGCTTTCATTTATTTATTATCAGTATGGCTAAACAATAGCGTAAAGTGAACTGTACACCAACTCATAAGCTAAGTTGCACCTCGTCCAGTTAGCGATCGACATTCTTGAATATCATGTATCTTCGGTTTTTTCTTCATGGGGATGTAAGTCAACTGGGTACATATTTCTTATGTACTAGGCTATGAACTACATTTTGTGTGAGGGCTTTTCATACTCTCCGGTCGCCTAGGTCAAAGTAGGCCGCGTAAGATTCAAATCAGAGACTCATGGCTTAAATGTCGATGCTTAAGCCAAGAGGCCACCGCTTTCGATTTCGTTGATTGGTAAATTCCTTTTGTGACGATTGATAGATAAGGCTTTTGATGAATACGCTCACTTTTGTTGGTTAAATATTGAAACCACTCGTATATCTGACTTACGTATTATTGATAGCTTTTCTAAATAGAGCAGACGGAACCTTGTAGCTATTGTACTAATTTTCTGCATGTCAGGCAATATGGGACTTGATGTTAGCCCACCGGTTATATCGAGTGTCTCTAAAGGTCACCTTGGCAACCACATATTTTAGTCCGATAGGTAGGTTTTTCATAAAATTAAGAAACGTAATCAGCTATTTCAGTAGTTCTTGTAGTGGCCCTCAGAGTCAATAAATATATCTCTCATGTTCAGTGAATTGAAATGGCCACCTTAGCATATACTGAAATAACCACTTAGGTTTCCTCAGTTTATGATAAAACTGCCTTTACAGTTGGAATGAACAAATTTAGATGGTTATTTCAGTGGCTACCAGTGACCTTTAGAAGCGTTCATCGCGTCAGAAAAATGCATAAGTAATTTGTTAAGGCTCATGAAGAATTGTGAGATGAATGCAATACCAAATGTCATTTTGGTTTTCAAACCTCCCATCTTAGGAAGCTCTCTTCAGGAATAAGATAGAGAGATAATATCGAAATGGGACCTGGCATTACTACGTAATGGTCCAAGTTGCCACACCAAATGAGAATGCAGTAAGATGAAAGATAGAGAAGAAAACATTCAGAAGTAATAGAAAGTCATCAAGATTAGGCAACACGTACCGAGATTCAGTATGATAATTTAGATGAAGGTAGTGTCCCACTGAGATCGATTCTGAACGATACCACTTCAAGTTTTCAAAAGCACTAAGTAAACTAGTCAACTTCGGACAATGAGACTTGCAGTTTAAGACATCTTAGAATCACCGAAAGGCTATCCAAAAACTCAGAAAATATGATGATAACCAAACCTGATAAGGGGTCTGGTACTGTTATCATGAATGAATGTACCCATATAGATAAAATCAACTTTCTTCTCAATGATCAAATTTTCATAAGTTGGGAAACTACAAAAATACTACACCGGCAATAGAACGTCAACTAACTTCAAATCTAGGGACAATGATGGGACAGAATCTGATTTCCAAGTTGCACATTGATACATTAAAACTCTCAGCCATACATTACCTGGACTGTATAACTTACCTAAGGTTAACAAGCCTGAAAATTTACTCCGTCCAGTTCTAGATATGTTGAGCTCTGTATCTCTCAACAGCGAAATGGTGCGTACGAGTGTTACATCATGAATTGGTGAAATTCAGCGTAAAAGATGTATCCAGCTTCGTAGAACATTTCAAAAGTATGTATGTTTAAGGTAAGGGAGTGATTTTATTGGATATAGCATCATTGTTTCCCAATATTCCGCTTATAGAAACAGTCAATTACATTTGCGATGAAGTGGGGATCCCACCTCTAAGAGTTATGGAATTGCTGCTAAAATGCACCATGAATTCTAACTTTATGTTTAGTAACGCACCCTATATAGGAAAGCAGATAAGGTTTCAATGAACTCTCCTCTGGCTCCTATGCTAGCAGACCTCTTCTTGGCCAAACTTGAGAACGGGCCACTTAGGGACCCAGTTGATAAACCAGACTATTATTGCCGGCATATAGGTGGTACGTTCATCATTTATAACAATGGTTTTGAATATTCTCACTAATATCAACCCAGCTATGAAGCTCATCTGAGAGGAAGAACAAGGGAATAGTATTTCGTCCCTAGATGTCCTCCTCATCAGGAAAACGGATATATTATTAAGAGAAATAATATGCACTTTCATAGCTTCACACGAATTCAATAAAAAAACCCTGGTCAAATGTCTGAGTTACAGAATAAGAAACATATGTTCTGATGATTGTATCGGAGAAGAAATGGATGGGCTGAAGTGGTTATCCGCTAAAAATTATCAATAAATACATGTTGAAACCTGAAGAGATTATAAAGAAGGATAATGTTGCTAAGGTGTCTATATATCTTAGACTAAGTTTCAAAGGTGATTCTGATTTCCTAACACAGTGATTGAGTGTCAAAGGTAAACTCATATTAGCAAAACTTTTCTTAGGTTCTCAACAGAACCACTACTGACAGAATGAACCAAGGATAGATTATCAATGACGGCCACTTCAATGTGCATTTATGAGTTAGACTGCTCCAGTAGGGCTAAGTTACATAGGCTGTATACAAATGCCTGTATCTATGCGCACTCGTGAACGTGTACCAGCTTGGTTAGGGAAAGGAATGATAAAGGGTTTCAACAGTGCAGTCCTCTCACATCTGGTAAATATCGGATCAAAGTAGATCGCGTCTTTTGTGATATATCGTGTTCCTTGTAATCGCCCCGAAGGTGCATGACTACACAGCTTATCCGAAGCCATAGGTATCAACGCGAGAAACCCTGATCTATATACATCCACTTTGTCTACGTTGACCCACAATAGGGTCGACACGTTCTTTATGAACTTGAAGGCAGTTACGCTTATTAATGATGCACCTACAAGAGATACAGTATATTCGTGGAATGGATGTAACAGTAAAAGAAATTTTTCGAATGGCAACAAGTAATTACGTAGCTCCTAAAACAACTGAAGTACCAGGAACTCGAAAGTTTGAAGATCACAACGACTGACTATTGAACCAACAGAAATGGTAACTTGTTTTTCGTTTATGGATAAAATACTGGCCAGTTGCAGATGAGAGTTAGTATCAGTTCCACATCAAGAGTTTCATAAGTACCAAAAGTATATATTGATCAAAAAAGTAAGCATTACTTCATAGATGGCTACTTTATGTACAGCGCATTCGATTCTGCTACATCCTAATATCTGGAATTACTTGTGTCAGTTGGTATCAAGAATCACTGCTGAGAAACCAAGTTGATTAGTTTTGCAACATTACCCAGCGTAGATCCCAATTGTAAGTCATAACGTCAAATGAAAAAGTTCACCTACTTGAGAATAAGTGGAATTAGTTAAGATGTAATAAGTAATGCTGGATTCCCTTACATGAACGATCTTCGAAGTCTAGAAAATAACAAAATTATTGACTTGGGCGATTACTTGTCAAGTGATAATTTTTACTTTGCTTTTAACGAATTGAAAATCAAGCTTCTAATTTGATCGTCAAACACAAACAAAATTGAAATGTATGGAGTGTGAAAATTGGGCGACTTTACAGGCCACCCTAACAACAACTGAAATAATCAATCAGACTAGCCCATTTTAGGAAAGTCTGCCTTTCCAGCAGAAATGCAGGACCCTAATTGGTTATTTTAGTTGTTGCTAGGGTGACCTTTGAGGTCGCCCGTGAAATGTTTAACTAAGTGGTTGTCCAAGCCCACTACATTGATTGCTGACAAAATCTCACCAAGTAAAATTTCGTTTGCATACTTTCGCAAGCACTATATGTAAGGCTGGAAAGAGCAGTTCAGCATGCAACATATTTAATGTACTTTGTTTTATGATGGCTGGGAGGTATGTAAATTGAGATATTAATTGACGTGACGGTTATAGGTATTTAATCATTAACTCCTGTAAAGTTACACTCGGTTGTAGTATGTATGAATCAACAAATAAGTAATGTCATAGGTAGCCATAGGGTTTCAATTAATAAAGGTAAATTAGCTGGTAGGATTTTAAATCAGTTGAAACGTCTCGAACACGCGTTGTGCATATTTAGGGGCCACGTTTCGCTAAAGGTTTCAAATAGTACGGTTTGAAATACACTCCACTAGAACTTGTGTATTCCAGGTTTGTTGTTAATTTTTCATGCCCAATTATTGATTGGCCTTCTTTTACCGCACTGCAAAAATCATCATACCTCACACAGATAGGTTATTCCATTAGGTTCTGACGTTCTCAAACAATAAGTTTGAAAAGTCTGGTACATTTTAGTCGCGCTTGTCACATGGATATGAAAGGAAGAACTCATTAAGAGCGGTATCGACTAGTAAACCATATGCGTTTTCTTCACAGAACAGAAAAACAGATTAGAAGTTCATACTAAAAATCGATTTGTGAAAAATCCGTTCAATAAACAAACAAGCTGATAAAAAAGCCCAGCTCAGCTACTATTACGAACAGTAATTATGCATTTCAGACTAATTCGAATACTCATATTACACCAAGCTAGGCATAGTTAATGTAGACGTGAGTGCTTATACAATAGCATTATGATTGCTGTGGTGGATATGTAAGATATACTCTGAAGACAAAGGTTTTTTTTCTACCAAAAGGGAAGTATAAAACTGTGTAATTTACAAAATGTTCAAGGTATCGCACTATTTATTATCTTGACAATGATTGCAATAATATATTCATACAGTTGAAATACAATGATGTAACCGGTTGACCATAACTTGCAGAATATGCTCCAATTTCGCATTTGTTTTACAGGATACAGACTAAAAGAATTTGGAGAAGAAAATTATGCATAAATCATTGACAATTTTCAGGTACATTGCCGACTGTATTGAAAATATTATTGGCTTACTTGAAACAGAAATAGATACTTGAGTAAAACTGATTGAAAACTCTTATAGTACTACCGTGGGGAAAGTCTGCTAACCGACGTTTACACGCAACTTGATCCTATGAAAGATATATGCGTATATAATGACTAGGCTCAGCCATACCTGTAAGCATTTTCTGCTTCCGTTAGACAATGATACATTGAAACTTACTCTCTATTACTAGATGCCTTTTGGTCATCCAAGACTTGTTTCCCCGTGATAAAAGTAATAACTCCACCACAGATGCAAACACTACACCCACAAAATAGCCACTGATAGGTCCTAAGAAATCGTGTCAAAATTGCAGGTAGAAACTTCCAGAGAATCTGGTTTTCCACCGAAATGCTAAGATAACGTTCTACTGTGTTGGAAGAAGTGCACAGCTGATTACGGGCCGTATCACTTGGTGCTTTTATGGTGAGCAAAAGAATTTCCACCATCCTGACACAAAAACTGTCACTTGAGCAGGACATAAACAACAAAGAGGAATAACCAAAAGCCTTTAGGCCCTCCTCAGCATCAGTTCAACGATACCTTACAGTTTCAAAAATTCGATCACAAATATTTATCCATCTACAAACCACGTAGGTATTGAATAGTTTCAATAGATTTGGCGACTTGATGAATGATACCCATTATTTTTATATTTCCAATGAAAATAAAATGAAACAAGTTGGTAAGTAACCTTCCGGTATATACTGCTAATAGCTTTATCAAAGTTACGGTGAGCTGGAAGTTACACTACCTAAGCTTATGTATGATAACGTAATTTGAGTTTTTCTAGATGGATTATTCCACGTCGTCAAGGTGTTGAGAAAGATGACGACCATATACAGTATGTTAAGTGTGTGAATTACAAACTGGAGTTTATATACACACATGTGCCTAGGTTTCTTATCACATGTGTCGGTTACGTCAGTATGTGTAGGTGGGTTGAAACCAGGTGAAGCTATGCTTTATCACCTCGTTCTTATTTAGGCAATATCGGTTCCACTTTCTGTGAAGAGATTCAGCTTTCAGGCTTTCCTTATAATTTCTAACGTCTTTCTGAATAGTTTCTATATATCCAAAGTCGATTTTGTGACCTGAAAGTATACACTGTAGAGCTGCAGCAGAAGTGTTCTTGAGTTTTTTCACCCCTGTTAGATTCCCAGGGGTTCGGGTGGAAGCTCTACAGTGTTCCTTTTTTTATAAATCATATTCTACGCGAAGTTTGTTCTGTCTATACTGCATCACAGTCTGAACGTTTTATTTTATAAATACAATAGCATTGGTTAATGATTTAGGAGTGCTTTTACGATCTGGTTTAATATTATTTTCTATTTCACGAATGCATTTTGCTGAGTAATTGTTCATTTTAAGGTTTTTCTTCATATATTTTGATTCCTTCGGTTTTTCGTTTTCATCTGTTACTAGAGTTTGCCTTCCTTAAAAGACTGGAAGCAACATAGAGCTTCACATAGTTGGGGTGTGATGAATTAGAATAGAATTATTCCGAATTTGTTGCTCTTCTGAAAATCATCATGCCTAAATGTCCATTTTCTTCACACTTCACTAGATAATCAAGGGAGGGTAGTTGACTCTTATACGTTTCTTTTATGTGAGCTGAACTCGATACTAGGGGGTCTAGTGTCCAATCGATCCAAGAATATCTAGTACATGTCACGTTTTGAGACTAAGAACATGTAATAGCCGAATTCTCGATTTTATTAAGTATACGAGGACACTTTCTTCAAATATACTCACAAATTTGTTTGACAGTAGGGATAAAACACATGAACATATAGATATGCGGTTAGTGTGTTTGTGCAATTTCCCTTGAATGTGAAGTAATCAGTCTATAAGCAAACTATCAATGGAAATTGGTGTTAATAAAACGGGTTTGTGGGTCTTACATAGACCGTAGAATATTGAAGGTATGTAAGACCTACGTATGAATTTGAACCGAATGAAGCTACCAATTTTCAGTTTCAATTCTTGAAGTAGTCTATTTGTGTTGTATTTCATATCATTTGGAGCAGTGGACAGCTGTGCGCACTTTCGACACTGAATAAGTGAAACACACAGCACGAACGGATTTTCTCAGTAGCAGCACTACATAAATACATTGACGACCGAAGCACATTTGGTTTCACATGGTTGTTCAATTTTTGTTAGAGGTAGGTCAGTTGATAGGGTAGTGAACGTTCATTCACTAAGGTATGTAGAATGTGTAGAATGCAAACGGGAACTGTATAAGCGGAAATGGGATAATTTTGCAGAAATGGAAATGGTTGTTAAAAAGCAAATCACATTCATCCGTGAAATATTTGACTGTCGGTTTAAGCCATGTATTAAAATGTAGGCCTTGTCGTTGTGGTTGTAGGGTATAGTTCAAATCGATCACAACGGGATAAACACATCCACACTTTATTTTCAAGTTTTAAATTTTATGATCATTCACCCTTATTTTTTATGTTTTAAAACAATATTTGATTACCAAGATGTTGAAAGACTGGTGAATTGATAATATGCTCAAGTAATCCAAAATAGTATTCCCAAGTAATATGGGCTTATAAAGTGGAAATTATTGACTGATTCTACTCAAAATATGACTCTCTTCAAACTTGTTATCGTATACCATATTATGTTTTGAAATAATACTACCAATTATGAACCAAGAATGAAGTCTAAACTAATAGGAAACTATAAAGTCTATCTGAGATTAACAACTCATCAAGAATAAAAACGAAGTTCACTGAAAAGTCAATGACTTCTCGTCGATGACTATCTTTCTGTTTTCCTTGACAATTTCCTCTGATTTTCATCTTTTAGTTTCTTTAGTAAGTGCTGGCGTAAAATTTCTTTGCCACTCTGTTGTGGACTTCATTTCTAGTTTCCGGATGTGAAATGTAGCGACTTGGAACAAAGATAAGTCTCTATGCTGAACCTTAAGTTGTCAATGTTTGTCTGTTTTTTTCCTAAAATGAAAACGAATCGATTCTCCTGAAAAAGACCAATTTGGCATAAAGTCGCATAACCTAGCAACAGTTCGATTGATCTATTAAGACACAAATTCAGAGTTGCAAAACACTGCTAGTAGGATATTTGCAAAACCGTAATCATCATCTTCCTCAATATCAACATAGGACCAGGCATTACTGCGTAACGGTCCGAGTTGCCACAGCTCATATCAGTACATCAAGTAGAAAGGCAGTGAGGTGAAAGATGAAGAAAGCAAAGTTTAGTCAAAAGAAAAATAAAGTACGAGAAGAAAGAAGGGAAGAATGACAAAATGGTGAGAATCGGTATATTGTTAGGATGAGGATAATGTGTATACATCTGCGCCACTGACATCGGTTCTGAGCCATGTGATCACCTAGAGTCTCTAACCACTGGTTCCTCTTGTCCCGCGGACCCCAACCACCTAGTCTGCATCCCCCACATGGCTCAAACCAACAGTCAGAGACTTCATACATTGGTGCCATGTTTTAGTCTAACCACCTCGGGCCTTTTTCCAGTCTGCACCTACTCCGGCCAACATTGTGTGACGAGGCGATCGGCGACTAGGCACATGTAACACGTGTCCCAACCACCTCAGTCGATGAAGGTTCATAACCTCAACAGATTTACCTCTACTCCCTAAAACTCTATAGCTGACGTCTGCGTTGCTCACGTGGTGACACTACGGAATACCGTCTATACTACGGAAGCAACGGTGGTCGAACACTTGAAGCCTTCTCATGTCTTCCACCTTCAATGACCATGTTTCACAGCCATACAGTAGAACAGAGCGGACTGCTGTGCAGTACACGCGACCCTTAATAGACAATCGGATATCACGGCAGCGCCATAGGTGGCGTAAGTTGGCAGAAGCCAGTCGAGCCTTTTGTATTTTTGAAGAGATTTCATCGGCCACTGAGCTACCGGAGGTGGGCTGATCCGACTTCCCAGGTAAGTGAAGTAGTCGACACACTCAACTCACTCTCTATTACTAGCTGTGGCACCGTTGAAGACTAATCCTGGAGCAACAATTTCCATTTGGGTGGTGAGAACCGCATCCCAAACATTCTCAAATTGTTACTCAAAGTGTTCAGAAGGCTCTGCATCTTGTCAGCGTCTTCACTTGACAAAACTATGTCATCTGCATATTCTAGGTTCAACGAAAATTCTCCTGTGATTAGGTCAACGTCTTTGTAATTAGGTGACGAGAGGGAAACCTCCATAAGAATATCTATGATAAAATTAAATAAGAATGGGGATAGTGGGCATCCTTGACGGACACCACTTGATGAGTATAGCTCCCTGGACAACTCACCATAGGCTCTAACATGCCCACAAGTGTTCGAGTAGAGAGCCTTCAATAAAGTGGTGTAATTACTCGGCACGCCTTTCACTGAGAGACATTGCCACAAGACTTCTCGATCAACGGAGTCAAATGCCGCCGCCTTCAGGTCAAGAAATACAGCTATTGTTGGTCTTCGGTAAGCGTATCTGTGTTCCAAAACCTAGTGCTGTGTGAATACTTGGTCGATACATCCACAGCCAGGTCTAAATCCTGCTTGGTTACCTCAAACTTGCTGTTCACCAGCTCCACTCAGGCGTCGAAGAATTATAGAACCTAGAATCTTAGACATAACGTTCGTCAGGATGATTCCTCTATGGTTATCACAAGAGGACTTCTCGCCTTTCTTGAATACTGGAATAATCAGTGATTCAGACCAGTCAGAGGGGATCGTATTTGATTCCCATAACACTTCCGTTAACCTGACTAAGAGCACAGCGCCACCATCCTTCTATACCTAAGCAGGTAGTCCGTTTGGTCCTGCTGCCCATCCTCGTTTCAGGTTGCCTACAGCTTTCTTGACTTATCCTAGTGTCGAGGGGCCTATCTCAATGTTCCATTCAGGATCCTACTGGATGGCGGGCAACGCAACGGTGGCTGGAGGCCAGTTAAACTGTTAATCGAAGTGTTCTCCCCATCGTTCCAGTCGTCTCAGTCTACTTTTAAGCTGTGCTTGCTCTTCATTGTACTCGGGGCCTGCAGGGATGCGTTCACTTGCATCTATTAGTTTGAAAGAAGCTGCTTATATCCACTGGCTCTTTTTAGCCATTCTTTCGGAGTCGCCCTTAGTGTTCAGCGCTGCTTTTACGACAGACTGGAGATTGCACCAAGCTTCTTCTGGATGAGTGATAGTCTTCTGTCCCGACAACTGCCTAGCCAACTTCTCACTGAACACGGCTTTGGTGTTTCCGTTTTCCAGCAGTACTCATGTTGGTTTTGTTGTCAAATTTTTTCTACGTCCATTGAGACACAGGCATATACGCGCTCGGACCAACGCACGATAGCTCTATAAATACGTACTCTAGAAGGAGCGGCAGTCTCCCACCGATCCTCTCCAGTGATGACTAATAGCAATGTGGTCTGTGTCCATCGCTGAGTTGAGCTCGGTGGACGCCAAGTCAGACAGTGTCTTTTCTGTCTGAAATTTGTGCTAGCTAAAATATACGGCTATCTGAGCAAAGTTGTAATATGCGATCACCGTTATCTGTATGTTCAGCCGGGATTCCGAAAGTGCTACCTGTGTGCCTTTATGCCTCACTCAGTCTACCCACCTGTGCATTGAAGTCACCTGTAACAACCACCACGTCCGAACGTTTGGCCTTCGAGAGGAGGCTAGACAGTTTACAGTAGAACTCGTCCGTCACTTCATCCGAACTACAATAAGTGGGTGAGTAAGCAGGGATTACAAAGAGACAACGGCGAGTCTCACTATTCCTTTTAGTTCTCACTGTGCCATCCAGCTGCATAGCGCAGAAGCAACTATCAACTGGAATCCAGTCTAACAGTGAGTTTTCTGCCCTAGTGCTTAATGCTATGTCTACACCTGCAAGACCCCGAGAACTAGCTATCGAATCTCCAGAAACTCGAAGGGTGAATTTTGCGGATTCATCACATTGACCGGAAGGGGTTAGGTGAATAACCGCGCTTAAGTCCTGTATGCGTGTCTCAAAAACACAGCACATATCCATGCCCCGAGTTGCTAGAGTCTTTGCCAACGAGGCCTGTTGACCAATTTGACGGAGGGTGTGGACATTCAAGGCTCCAATATGTAATTTGGAGCGTGGTTTAAGGAGACCAAGTATGCTGTTCTGTGGACTCAAATCGTTGTCAAAGGCTATAGAGCTAGGAGAAATTGAAGATGATGTAGTATCGTTAATTGAGAGACATGGAAGAAGATTAAAAGGTAGTGATGGGGGAGGTGGATAGCAGTCTGAGGAAACTTGAATGCTGATCGAGTTGTGAGGGCGGTTGACACTTCCCGGCTGTCCATAGTGTAGCAATTTACATCACATCGGTAACCGCTTTTCGTCTTACCACTATCTAACAGACCTTTGTGGCATGGTAGGACCTCGAGGGAACAAGCATTCCACCAGCATAGCTCGTTGGATCATTGTGATATGAAGCCCGACCACCACGTTAAGGTAGCAGCTATCGGTCGGGCAAAACCGTAAACACTATAGGTGAGACATTTTGAATTTAACAATACGTTAGAAAAAGCATAAAAAATGAAGACTATTCACACATAGTAATCACATTTAAAGAAAACAGATCGGACTATAAAACCAAATAGTAAGTCATAAAAACTGTTGTAGAAAAGGGAAAAATGGATCGCTGTTTGGTATCCTTACCATATCGCATAGATTCACTTCAGCCACATGAGAATCTACATGTACAAGTATATGATTAGCGTCTGGCTCAATTTTGTCCTCTTCTAAACAGTCAATTCCAAATGCATCCTGAAGGGTAACTTCAAGAGCAGATCGAAACTGTTCTTTACTTGGTTCAACAAGGTGAGGTAGACCTGACACAGAAAAAAGAACAAAGTGGAAGATATATCATATTAGACACTAACCAGATGATTGGGAAGTAAATTACTATTTGCCGTCAGCAATATTTAGGATATAGCTTTTTCCGTATGAAAATTTATTCAACATGAAATTATGGGCAGACAGTTCAAATGAAGTCTGTGGTGTCACAGGATTTATATGCGATTAGTACAAGTCAATAATTACACACAGGTTCGGTTGCTAAGTCCTAGTAAGGAATCGATCCATCACTTACTGGTTGGTAACTCAGTATGTTTACTAGGCATGCACTCTAACAGAAGGCGGGCCAAAGGATATTCAAGCTGACCTTTTACAACCCGTTTATTCGATAATGAGGTAAAATCACAAATTATAAATGTGTTAATCCTAATCACAAGCATTAGTGGTTTGTCTACACCCATAGAAACTAGGCGGATTAGAAGTAGATTGTAAGGTGCTTAAGGAGGTTTAGAGCAAGATATAGTATCAATATAAGTGATGTGCATAACTGCAAAAGTTGTCGGTGGGATTTTTCAGACAATAATAATCGACAGTTAAGGACCACCATAGATGAGATGAAGTCTATCACAATGAAATAGATGGATTCACCCATTATCCTGCTGTAGATTTGAAATTCTGAAATCATATGTATCTACCTCAACCATAGCTAGGTTATTAATTTTTGGGTTTTTGTCATCACAACAATAAACGGCATTGTTTTCGGTTTAATTTCCTTTCACTATGTAATCAAGAAGTCATTAGAGTAAACAAAACACAGTTTGATGGAATCTTAAAACGTGGTTCATGTGATTCATTTCATTCAAAATCTACACAATTCACGATGAGATGAGATTATTCACCAGTTAAAAATCTTAAGCTAACTATGTACAGGAAGTCGTAAATAACTTCAGAGACAAATAGCAAAGAAAAAAAGTACTCACCTCTAGGAGGCATCCCTTGCATAGCAGCTCGTAAAATAACATTCTGTACAGCATCTGCATACATGTCACTTGTGGGATTGGATTGCCACTAAAATTTACGTTGGATTCATAATGTAATTCTTTACAGTGATTACTCAAAAAAAACAGATTATCATCAGTTATTTGAAGATAGACTCAATGAAGACTAGGAAGTACAGCATAGCTGTTTTATTTCAGTTTGGAACTTCTTAGCACTGTGCAGTTTCAACTATATATAAGGTTTGGCCTGAAGTCTTCAAATTTTGCAGATATCATAACCTGATGGAGGCCGGGTTATCAGCAAATAGGTTACATCCTGTTACCTAATAACGCTTAGTATATTCTTTAGATGGGCAGATTCAAAGTCACCTGATTATTTGCAGAATTTTCATGTGCTATGACCATGAGATCAAATTACTTTTTTGTGATATCCAACTGTTTACATGAGGTATTTTATCGACCAGATTTAGGTCACTGGAGATTGTACCAGCCAATACTAACTAAGGGTGGGTAACTGAATTCCGAAGACATGCATCTACAACAAAGCTGAAAGGAGTATAGTGAATTGGTCTGAGCAGGAAATACACAAATATATCTGGAATTTAAAAGAAGCTTTCTTTAGTGTACGATTTATCCAACATAAAAACACTTTTCACCAAAAGGGTAACGGCAGTAATATAAGTGAATTTATACACTGAAGAAAACAAGAGCGCAAGTATTTTAAGCTACACAGTTACCTACCCGTGCTAAATGATGTCTCATATTACAGGTTGGTATTCATCATGGACTGACATTATTTGGAGGACCACTGGAAATCTGGGAGCAATAGACAGTTTCTTCGTTCTAGTAAGGGACTCCTGATCAGTGCGCGCCCATAACGCCGCTAGCGATCAAACCCAAGGCCTTTGGACTCCGCGGGCAGCATTTTACCATTGACCCATTGGGGCGGAATTCAATGGTCCATATTTCCTACCCAACGATGGCATTGGATGGAGATCGCGCTATATTATGAACTGACAGAGGTAGCAAATATGCACCACTGGATTTCGACCCAGTTAGTCAATGGTAACCTGTTGGCCACGAACCCGGAGGTTCTGGGTGAGAACTGCTGAGGAGTCCCACACTTGGACGAAACAGCTGTAAAGTGCTCCCAGGTTTCCAGTGTTCCTTCAACTAACGTCAGTCCACGATGAATACCAACCTAAAATTAATAAATCCCCACAAACCTCAAAATTGAATATCACATATTACTTTATAATCCACTAAGTAATGGTACTGGAAATATAGTGGGAGGCTGAAATGTTTGGGGCGGAGAGGGGGGGTGGAAACCACTTTTTTCATTTGAATACAAATGACATTTCGCTTTTTAAACAAAAATCCTTTCATTTATTAACAGAGTGAGGAGTAAGCAAATCGGTAAATTAGAATGTGATTGAGTAGTCGATATAATCCAGAGGTCACTAGTTTGAGTTCTCTCATTATCCTGGCTCTTGTTTTGACTTAAATCACCACTCATTTAGTTTTGTAGAATTGACTGATATCAAGGCGCTCCTTACCATAATTAAAATGTTTTGTCTGAGTTTGCAAATTAAAGCTTTCACCAATTATGAAAGTAACTTGTTTCATAGTAAAAATTACTAATCTATAAAATTCAAGAGACTCAGGGTTCCGTTTGAAAAAAAGCCTACAGGATCAGAAACTGTTTCCAGATGAATTGTTATTCTTGTTGGAGTTGAAAAACCCTGCCTAGATCATGAATGTTTGTGACTGGCTGTCTACAGGTACGTTCTCACATCTATGCATCAGTAAATATTACGCTGTTCAACTGGAACATGTTTGTATGGATCAGTTACACTTGTCTAGGTAACTAGACACACCTTCGAGCAATATGGCTTATATATTTGTGCACTTTTTTTCTGGATAGCAAAGGAAAATTACAAGCATCATAACAACAACTGATACCCGCTGCACAAGAGGTGGCTATTGTCCCGCAGTGGCTTAGTGGATAACGCTTCGGTGCTTCAAGTGGTGAGTACTGCGTTCGAGTGTCAATGTGGAAAATATCACTCAGTGGAGTCCACGTATATCCAGCTGATGAGCCTCAACTAGGACGAAACACACCCTGGATTCCTCTGCCAGTCATTAACATTAATATTCTTCAATACTAGTAGATTATTTTCACATTAACCTACCTGCTTACTGATTCCCTAATAGATAAGTGTGTTAAGGTTAAATATGTAGACTCTTACATGTATGCATTGATTTATTAATAAATTTTAGACATTGGTAGATGACATTACCACCCAAATCTAAAGTACTTTAAAATTAGAAGCCAATGAAAACTAAGTGCTTTTTGCAGAGAAACGATATTGTACTTCAACCTTTAAAAAAAATCTCCCGACCTTATATGTATGATACAACCTGCTGACTTTGGATTGACAACTGGTATGAATACAGAAAAGCAAAGTGCCAATAACCGGAAAATTGATGCTATGTACTGAAATGTGTCTGTATGGTGTTCAGTTCATAACACTTATATTGTGACAGCAAATACATGCGAATTCAATTTTTGATTTTCCAACCATACAGGAGGATATCAGGCATGTGAACTGATAGTATTCAGAATAAAGATGGATCTCTATCAATAATATTAAACGATAGTTACCCAACACCACCAACTACGTAAAGCTGCGAAATGTCAACCGTATAGTTTTAACTCAAGAGCTTGACAGTAACACATCCATATTCAAAAGGATCCTCATAGATAGTTGGGAATGAGGATTGCAGGAACACTGTTAACCTAAGGAATACAATTTTGTTTTATATCACAAACTTGTATTTGGCTGCGTACAGTAAAATTACGTTCCAATTGTTGTCTAGTTAATAATGCAATTTCACTGAATGGTAAATAGAAAAAAACAAAGTAAATCGAAACTATAGTCTAATACAATGCTCAAATTTTACTCGAAGGAAACAACCTTGGTGTCATTAATGGTGAAAAAAGAAAGTATGACTGGAAACGATCCAAACTTAAACACACTGTATATGCTGAAAAGTGGTATTTTCTTGTTCATTTCCTGACTTGTGTAATCTTCTGATATTTTTAATCGAATTTAATGACCTCCCTTCCGTACCATTCAGGTCCCGTAAAATCTTGTAGATTTTCCAATATATATCAATGTGATGATGCCTGTAAACTGGCTTCTCTCATGTTAAATTACTAATATGAGAATAAAATATTTATTTATATTCACTGTTTTTCGGTTTTAAGTAGTTAACTAAGAAGAATGGTTATTCTACTGAATTCGCACACAAAAATATGAACTGTGTGATAAGGTACGAATAGCTGAGATAGAATCGATTACGCTTATTTGACACGAGATCAGACAAAAGCAGCGTTAAGGTGATAAAAAAATATCCTGTTAAAGACCGTAAGAACTATTCGCTCTCTCATGTTTTCAATTACTTTAATGGGAATATATTACTAAAATTAGCACGGGTTGATTGCTTATCGATAGGTAGTAAATATGGCATAAAACGTATATGAAACCGGACTATGAAAGCTTTATCAAATCAGTAAAGAAGAAAGGTACGGTGTTTGAGCGTTATGATAAGATTAATTAACGATAGATAGCAAATACAGACACATTTTATTTTAGAGGTAGTATTCATCATGAACTGACATCAGTTGGGGAACCATTGAAAATCTGGGAGCACTGCATAGCTGTTTTGTCCTAGTATGGGACTCCTCAGCAGTACGCATACTACGACGAAACAGCTGTCCAGTGCTCCCAGATTTTCAATGGTTCCCCAACTGATGTCAGTTCATGATGAATACTACCTCTAAATTGAAAATCCCCATTCATCTCAAAAATGCATACATTTTATTACCTCTGGGCGGCAGTCAACTAAGCAAATCTTACCAAATACTCTCCGAATTGAATTACCCTCACAAATGTCACTTGCGTCTTCAGTTAACTGAAGTTCCTCATTATAAATGTACACAAAGTTAGGCATGGTACATCATATAATTAATCATTCAACTTCACATCCAATCATATTCTAAGCTGTATCAGATTTTCGTCCCACGCTTACTGTCTATTTGATAGGTTATGCTGGCTATGAATTGAGCTGTGATCTCTATTTTTTTATGTGGTAACATTTTTCAATGCAATTATTACGCTTTATTGAAAGTCTATCACACGGACGACAGAATTCATTTTCGTGCACCTTATAGATTTGCTTGAAAATGAGCGTTTAAAGCGGACGAAGACTGTGGTGAATATTGTACTGCCATAGGTAAATACATGTTAACTTATTTAGTTGTAATGCAAATCGCTGATTGGTTAATCTCACTCTTACTACGCCTGTGCCTCAAATTGAGGACAAAGTTATTTTTATGTGTGTACTTATTCACGGGTTTTAGGATTGATATCATATATTCTCGGAGTAATACACTCTCCCATCCAGTTTCGGTCTTCTCTCTATTCGTCCTAGGGTTGCAGTCAGTGGCTCTTGCGTACTAAGTTAGCTGTCAGCTAAGCGTGCATATTATATTCGGTCGGAATAGATAACTATTGGCGTTCGAAAACATAACATAGTAGTGAGAAGTAACGATACAATCATGACAGTGACAATATTTATAGTTTTGACTAGACTACGTTATCCAAGTTGACTGACGTCCTTCCATTCCTACTTTTAATAGGTTGGATATCACAAGTTTCGTTTATGTTCATGGACTGTAGAGTTCTATTCCTCCACCCTTTGTCACTAAAATATCAGTCAAATGCTTACAATTTATTAGTGAGGTTTTAAGGGAACCTCTGAATTTTACGGGTTGAACTCAAATCGCTAGCGCCATAGCAACCCACATGACAGACAAATAAAATAGAATGGCAATATATTTGAAGTATTTTCTTCAATAAATTTCCATCAGGTTCTACAATTATAAGGTGGATTTGTTCCAAGGAGTGTGTGGGAAAAAACCTACCGTTTCCATGATATTCTACGTGTAAACGGATATCCTGAAAAGTTCATCAAAGAAAGCATCACTTACAGTAATCCCAAACG